TTATCCGATTACATAGTCTCGCTATTATTATTATCTCTAATTTTAACTTTCCAGTCAAAAAATGACAATTCAGCTTGTTTATTGGATGTATTGATATAGACAACAACCATCAGCTTGCTTTACAATGCCAAAATTAGGTAGGTATATAATATACTGGGTATGCATATTGTAAAATTCTGAAGAATGAATATCTTCTAGAGATCAAAGAGTTTCACTATTACGATAATTGCAATATTCGTACGATAATTTTTATAAGTAAATCATTCATGAACATTACGCTTCTCTTGATTACTGAATTTATACGCAACAATTAAAATTCGGGGGAATATTATTAGTTTATCGAAATCTATAGTCATCACTTTTGAGTCAGAAAATAAACCACTATTGCAGAAAATGTTGTATGTATCACGTGCGTGGAATGCGTTCATGGCCTTCAGCGTGTAATGGCCCTCGGCTAGCGCCATCGGGCCATTATTCACGCCACAGGCCATAAACGCCTACTTTACGCCCTTGATACATGAATAACTATAATCATCAAGATGGAAAACACTGTTTTTTCACCACTAGCAATATATTTCAATCATTATAGTTCTGTGAAACTGAAATGTGGACCTATCTCACTATGAAAGCACTCATTTTCAATACTGATTAAAACCTAGTTACCATGACAGCATATGACAATAAATCGTTATTGATAAATACCTACTAGATTCGAGTGCCATTCCTGTGAATATCGCATCAGAACAGTGAATTCCAGTTAATAATAACAGAGGTGGCTATGTCTTTATTGACTAGTGGTTCATAGACTGACGAAAACTACCTTGGTGGTAAAAACAGACTTCACGCCTTCAAAAGGAGTAAATAATTATTGTTAAATAACTAGTGGTGGAAAAAAATACATAATATGTTGCTATATGAACAGGGTGAGTCATAACTATATTGAGACATAGGACTGGCCCAGAATATGACAGTAGGATCGAATATGCCTTGATTGAAATATGGCTGTGGAAAAAGCTACAAGGGCGTTGGAGCCAAAAATGTTTCTTAGTGTTTTGCTAATAATTTCACTGTCTATTCACCAATTGTTTTCAAAATCGAAACAAATATTATTTTTTGTATTATTCTACAGATTGTTACAGGAGGCGCCACGTGAATGATTTCTGATGATGAAATCTACTGATAACTTTTTCTACTAGACTTTTTAGTGATTTTGGTTAGAAAATATAACATAAAAATCATTTCTACGTAATATTGGTAGTCCTGTTGGTAAACGATATTTTTATACGTTTTTGAGAAAAGACAATTGAACAGTTCAGAGTCTCGGAAGGCGATTTCAAATATCATCACGTTTATGAAGTGTGCTTTGTACTGTCAGATAATTGTTGCTGGTGAATTACATCTCTTGTCAGTGAATTAATTGCAGTGCGAGTTTATAGTCAACACTTTTCCGATTGAAACGCCCTGTATCTTTTCCCAAGGCATATTCAGTCCAATCGCCATATTTTGGTCCAAACAATCCTGTCTTAGCCTGTATGTCACAATAGTTATGACTCACCTTGATGGCGTAATTTGTAAAAAAAAAACAATTTGGTTGATCAAACATAGCGTGTGTGGAATTTTCACTCATAATATCCCAAGGCTCGGCCATTTTTTTCATAACAATGGTATCGACATATTTCCATATCTATTCGAATTGACTGACATTTTGAAAATTTGAACTATGTCATTAACATGGTGACTCGATTTCTCAACAGTGACAATTTACCGGGGCACTTATCAGTTAAATTTTTGTCTGATTGGCTAATACTGGTCACTTGGTCACAAATACGTAGATACGATATAGATTCAAATTACATAGAAAAAATCTCGGAAAAAATGTTCATCTCAGATTTATCACTCAGATATTTCGACACGTGAATTTCAAGTGTGCTGCGAAGAATATTGAAATAATCCAACTCGCCATCGTTATGTTGGACACACAATTCACACGTTTCTCATTTTCGATAATCTGTATAGGATTATTAGTTTCATGATGTCCTATATTTCAACCAAATAATTCAAATAAAATCACTATCACAAATAATAAGACCGTTTTTTGAGCTTGTATATTGCTACTTCGAAGTTGAGAACCAACTCCTCATATGTCGAAACTTGTGCGGGGTAGGTAGAGCGGGACCTACAACAGCTTATAGTGAATTTCAAACCACTTCTAGAGCGCTACGGTGCAGCCAGGATTACGACTAGAGCGGGATTTATAGATTGAAGCGCAGCAGCTGCCGCTGCGGTTGCAGCCGTTGTAGGAGTTCTGAAAAAATGAGTCAATTGTTACTTCATTCCTGGGGCCAACTGTTTTTCTTCATCAACAGATTTTTGTTATTTTCATCTTTCTAATTGTATAGATGGGGAGAGTTCTCCACCAAATTTAGGAATACTCCTATATCAATATTCTCCATTTTCACTATAATTTTCCAACTTTCAACAACGGGAAACCAAATTTTGATAAAAATATAATAAAGTATGTTGCCGGGGTAGCAACCGGGTGGGACCAAATCCCACCTCCCTCTCACAAGACTCCCATAGGGGATCACTGCCGGTCACCTATCTTTCGACTTATACAGACAGCGCCCCTGGGAGAAATGGAGGATTTGGATATGCCAAATCAGCGCGCTAGAGCCATCTCCGTTATGTGAGGGCATGTTCTCCTGCTACCATTTTATTATACCAATGGTGAGGCCGTCTGATAAGACAGACTACTGGCTATGCAGTGTCAGTGCCCGAGCAGAAACGCTGCTCACCCGCCGAGGCAGGCCAGATATCCACCCACTTGACCCATAGTGGGATTCTTCTTCACCTCCTCTACCGTAGTCCGATGGTGTTTTTCTGACACCGCTGCCCCCTGGAGTCCGACCCAATTGGTGAGGCATCAGGCCGTATATACGATCTGATGGGGCTATCCTCATCACCGCAGGTACCCATGTCAACAAGATTCCTCTTGTTACGTTTGATGGGTCGCCGTCGCAAGAGGCTTTGGCCTGATTGCTACTCATGTTGACAAGAATTCTCTCGTCCCGTTGAATGAGTGATCGTTCGAGGACTTTTACACGTTCCTCTACCTCGTTTACAGGAGAGGACCCGGCTTTGCCTACGATGACTGGCGGTAGGATCGCTAGGGCTGCCCCATCCCTGACGAACTAAGGCACAAGGTACACAAAAGTTTCATTTTTCGCTGAGCAAGCCCAGCTAGAACTGGAAATGTCAGCTTCAAGATCATCTTGTTTTATGTCATTAGTCCACTGCCGCTGCCGCCGCCGAAAATGAAAGTTGGTCAACTTTGAACGGCAGCGGCGACGGCGGCGGCACATCTATAAACGTATACATGTTCAACTAGACTTTCAAAGTTTGAACAGCTTAAGAATCACACAGATTCAAGAAAAATGCTGAGTCAAGCCGGATTTGACTCGACATGATCTCTGAATCGTGAACGGCGGAGGTCCTGTCCGAATTTGAGTGCCTTAGACAGCTTGGATACCATGCTCGGATTAATGTGTTCTTGGTCAATTTTGGCATAAGTGGTCTCATTAGCAAATCCATTAGACCCAGACAATTTGTTGATACACCAAACAGTCGGAAGAGAATATCTGATGATCCATTAATATTATCCTTGGCAAACATTTCCAACATTTGATTTGACTCGTTATTCTGTTGTTTTATGAAATTAGGTATTTATCCAGAACATGGTGCAAAGTTCAAAAATGTGGCACCAGATGATGGTCTTCATTCTAAAAAATTAAGTTGATGATAGCTTATCCTAATGGCTAATCTGTATACATGAATGAGCCATCGACATAGCCGCATAATAAGATTGAGAACGACGGGTCCAAGCATTTTTTTCGAAAAATTAACCAATAATTTTTGATTGGATTTATACATATGATGAAAATGATCAATTGATCAAATAATGTTGTTCCATTATTTGAAGATTGAAGGTACTGAAAAAACAAAGTCCTATCGAATCACTTGGATCATTTATTGATTTTTTCTATTAACTAACAGACTTCACATTGTGAACGTACACAATATAAACATTCTTAAGTCATGGAAACCATCCATCCTTCTCAAAGTGGTCCAGATTTTTTCAAAGAAAAAACACAAGTCGGTCGACCATAAAGTTTAATTACAAAAAGATTTTTTGTGACTAGTTTCGGCTCAAGCAGCCATCTTCAGACACAGTATAGTACCTGTAAAGATATTGGTTTACAAGAATAAAATGTCATATTGAGGAAGAACATACCTATAAAAGTACACGTGGAATCACATAATTGATTAATTGAAAAATTGAATTGCAAGGGTCATTGGCCAAAATTCAGTCAGGTGAAAAAATGGGTATTCTTTTGAACCGACTGAACAGCCAAATGACCCTTGCAATTCAATTTTCAATTAATCAATTATGTGATTCCACGTGTACTTTTATAGGTATGTTCTTCCTCAATATGACATTTTATTCTTGTAAACCAATATCTTTACAGGTACTATACTGTGTCTGAAGATGGCTGCTTGAGCCGAAACTAGTCACAAAAAATCTTTTTGTAATTAAACTTTGTGGTCGACCGACTTAGCGTTTGTGTTTTTTCTTTGATAAACATTCTTGATAACTTTCGAATAAATTATTCATTTATGAATATATTTCAAGATTTCCAACTCATTTAACATGATTCATAATGTAGCATTTATAAATACCATACGAATATAAAACTATCATTGTAAAGAATTGATTTATACATTCTTTAGATCACATCCACATTCATAACAAGAGCATATTATAAAAACACAATAAAAAGAAAGGAATATTTCTGAACTGAATAATAACGGAAATGATGGAGGCGAAAGGGGTGGTTTTGAATTATAAGTAAAATTATGATGTTTTGCTGTTACAATGAAATCAAATTCATATGGATAAATTACCTATTTCCAAGTTAATCAAGTTTTCGATAACAATAATTTCATATAAATTTGCTTCTGTAACCATTCGAATACAACCACGATCTGAATGTTTGGATATACAAATATCTAGTGGACTTATTGAATACGATGAAGAACATAAACATTACGAAGCCTTGCAACGTTGCGCAGAAGCAGAACACAACCATAAAAAAATATTCCCCGCTCAAGCTTAAAAAACCAAACAACCAAGTCAAACCGAGCATAAAAAATAGCAGTAGAGCTAGTCTCCACTGAAACAAAATTTCGTGATTTACTTGGTCTCTACTTTCTGTCTTTTTGTGGAATACATTATAAATAATGACTATGAAGATGATGGTATTGATACAGATGATGATCAGCAAAGGTAGCCATATCCCAAGATACAAACCAAGGCCCGAAGGGTAACAGAGACCTAGTTGCCCCGCGGAGTAATTATTAACATCAATAATTATGATGAGAAACACTGGAATCGCTGGAAAAGCCCACCCACAAATACAAGCCTTTAACAATATATACTTAGTGGGACTCCCAAGGACCTCTACGAACCTCTTGAATTGCAGAATAGCTATAATCAACATCCAGCCGAATTCCGAAAGTATAGAGTAATGTAAAATCCCCCCTGTGATCGTACAAGCCATACTACTACCACCACTCTCATCCCATATGCCTACACTGATATACAACATAATATTTTTTATTGATATAGCAAAGGAAAAATGAATCAGTATCTGATTTCCAGTATTGTTTCTCCACCTATCAAACATTAAAGCTGTGAGGAGGATCCCAAATATTCCAAGAAGGGAGAGAATACTGTTGATGTTAGTAATAATGTCTAGAGTTATATTTTGGTATTTGTTCAAGAGGACATCATTGGAACTTGCTAATAGGAGAACGAAATGGGTGATGTGTGGATAATTGCAGACCATGGCTTCTTTCTCTTTTTTAGGAACGATATCTCCTTTCCAATAACCTTCCTGTATCTGAGGCTGAAATATGAAGATATGGATGAAGTTCAAGACCCTTTGAGGAAGAATAACAGTACCTTATAATCCCAGTAAGCGCAACTGGCACCGTCATAAGGATCATCTGCCTTCACTTTATATACCATAGATAAATTTCCACGCATCGGCTCATTCAGACCTAAAATATTTGATATTATCCTTATATCATCTCAGTCAGGAATCACGTTTATTATTATAATACCTTTGAGCAGCACTCCACAAATTAGACTCATGCTATAATTAGATATCATTTTCTCATTGAAAAGAACGTCTTGAAAGAATACTGTAACAATTAGATATATAGGACTGGTACTATCCTTGATTTGTTGTAGAAGATCTTCGGTTAGTATCACAGCTGTGTTCAGGTTTTCAGTACCAACAGTATCGATGCTATCCATATTCCTGTGTAGAACAGTCAAATTGCATGTAGTTTTCTCACATCCCTCTAACCTGAATCCCTGAATATCGCTATTGGACAATTTATAAGTTATCACTGTGAAGTTATCTTCTGTAATCAAATCTGAAATTTCTTCTGTTGTTCGACGCTTCAGCATAATCTGGTCCAAATAGTACAGGATTGTATCAGTGGCATAATACAATTCTTGTGATTTGCGTAGAGTAGTTCTCTTCACTCTGAATAAGCCGCTCATGACTTTAGAAGTGAGTATAACATGCTCATGGGTTGTTTCTTGATAGTCAGCCATCTTACCTAAAATCATAATGACCTCATTCACCAACACGAATAAACCTCATTAATCATGATTTTTTCTGAAATTGGTAAATACTTCTACATTACTAGCCCGGAATTTTCTTCTTCACAGGACAGGTCCGGTGAATTATTTCATCGAATACTTGAATGATGTTAGACTCGATATTAACGAATTGTTCTTTTTCAAAGTCCTATAATATCATTCTAAACTGGTGTCCCTCAAAATAGGTTGAGTTTTTGTATTCATTCGCATAGGACACAACTATTTCTACAGATCTTTGAGGAAATCAAAAAAGGTAGATGATAAATTATTTTCATCAAATTATAGAGAAATTCATCCTCTTTCGTAACAGTATACCATTACATATATTTCTTTTGAAAAAATCCCAAAAATTTGCTTACATTTCAGTTGACGCCATCTAACGGCGACAACAAAAGTCAAAAATTCGAAACCAAATGGGTGTTATGTAGGGCAAATCATGTTCTTTCATATGAGCCTAAGTTTGCTAAAATCGGTCGAAATAAACGGGAGAAATTGTTGGTTCATTTGAAAAAATAATTGAACTTCCCCTACCGCTTTATTCTGATAGATAGAACAAAACGTTTTGGACAAAAAATGTAGGGAAATGGTCAGTAAATATGAAAATGATAGTATCGATATACTTCCATGGGACAAAATTCTATAAAAATCCCATTTTTCAACTTGGTGTTGATTGTTACGCCCTCTACCGGACGTGTGACAAACTCGAAAATGATTTCCAGCAATTTCTCTTGGCAACTTTAATCATGTTTTTTTTTGTCTCGAATCTATACGACCAATATCTCATGAGATATGGCCGCTCGCTACCCTTAACTTATCACCCTGTACATGTGTTCTTTAGTCCTTACTGAGAGAGGTCTTTTCATTTAACCTGTATAATACTTTCCACAAGGTACACTATAAATCCATTTTTTTGATGATTGTTCTTCATTTTTTGGCTTTGTTTAAGTTAGAATGGATCTCATTGTATTTTCAGTTTGGAACACAGTTTTCACATGGAACTTATCACCAACACGTTTCATTTTTTCAGATATGCCGGGAATGTAAGGTATTATTCTCGTTCCCGAAACGTCCAAAGATATGTTAAAATTCGCTAATTTGTCAATATATCTATATTTCTTTCCTTCAAACATTTTTTCAAACAAAGTGTCACTGACAATGAGGTACTGGATTTTTCTTTTATGCTCCCTTACAGAGAAATTTGTTAAACGCAGTGACATTTTGAGGCAAATCATCTGATTTGTCCCACTACAAATATATTGAAATAATACGCATATTTTCATTTTATAGAAACGAGGAGAGAAAATCCCAAAAAATCAAGTGAAATGAATGTACCACCTCCTCGATTGACCTACAGACAGTATTAAAAGAGTAGAGTGTCTGTCTTCCAGGTAAAGGAAACACTCAACCCAATTAATTGTTGCGATGATAACATGAAAACAATCAGGGATGCGTTGAAAATGTTCTACTCAACTCCAAGGTTATTAGAATTGATGATTATTCGTAGAAGGTAACCTGGATCAGCAAAACGCGGAGAGGGGAAGTGGTAATTCGTGACGTAATCCCATCGAAAATTCCATTTTGCATGCGATCACGTCACGAATTGCTACTTTCTCTCACCGCGTTTTCTGATCTAATCATCAATTTTAAAGGAATAAAACACAAACACTAAGTCGGTCGACCACAAAGTTAGTGTTTCTGTTTTTTTTCCTTTGAAAAAATCTGGACCACTTTGAGAATGATGGATGGTTTCCATGACTCATCAATTTTACTTAAGGAAACGTCCATCATAGGATATTATGTGTCCTGTGAGAATGCTTTTTCCAGACAACATACAGGCTATCTCTCAGATTAATATCAACCTCTCAGGAGATGACAGGAGACGACATTGAAAAAAGGTTTGACAACATCCTAGTTGAAGCTTCTCAATGTATATATCCAGAATTTTTGAGATTTTTTGTAAACCCCTGCTATAATTGCTGCTTTTTCGGATAGTACTCACCTATAAATATCGTAATAATCAATATAGGTATTCAATTTAACAATTCAGTAAGAATTTAGGTGGATAGAAATAATAGAAATTGATCAGCTGTCCACTGAGAAAGGGCTAGAATTCGACTCATGTGAGAATTATGCACATCGTACAATATTCAACATGTTCGAGAATAATTTCAATATATTCATATTGTTCACGGAAACAATAAATGATGCCACGGAACTGCATATACAGAATATTGTGCCTGGAAAATATATCAACAAATGCAGTTCATTGATTTGGCTGATTGCCTACTGAAAAGTATGTATGATAACGATAGCATCAAGTCGCATTTTCAAAGTGGAATTAGTATTTTCATGATAGGCCTAGTCATGCCATATAAACGTATTTTTTTGGTTGCTCCTAGGGATTGCACCAGAAGTGTCTGGTTATTTATGTTTTTGTTCCAAAGCCCGAAAGTGGTTACATTTGTTTTCAATTGATTCTCTTGAATGGTTTGCAACAACCTTCAGGACACTCTGAATAGACTATACTATGATTTGATTTCTTACCTAAAATCTTAGCAATCAAAAATATATCCATAGGACTCAATATATCGGTATTTGTGTTTATAATAACATCAACTCTCTCAAGTTGTTCTTCTATTGGAAAGCTGCTATTGAAAATACTTTCTAAATCACTGGTAATGTTCTTTTCAATCTCCAATACTGCGAAATGTGTAGATTCCAGTCGACTTGTGCATAGCCACATGGAATCTAAGTAAGCCGGTGTTATTTCCCAATGACCTTTTTTTATCAAACTCCCATTCATTGCTTCATAGTTCCAGTTCCAGTAGGCACATATATCAGCTTTATCTGGGCGATATTTGAAGCCGAATCTGGAATAACAGGATATTTTGAGTATCACAAATTCACCGTTTCGTGAAGAAATCATAGATATGTCACCTTATATGCTCTTTCCAGATAGATTCATCCATACCAGGTATAGTGACACCAACAACAATCCCAACATTCATGGTAGAATCAGTACAACCTTCGTTGAATAGAACATCATCATAGTAAATGGTGATATAAATTCTCATAGAATGTTCATCTAGATATTCTTTCAATTCCTGGTCTATTGACAGTATACCATCAATATTTTTGGAATCATTCAGTTGCATTGAAAGTATTTTTATCGTGCATGATAGATCACAATTCTCAAAAGTCAATCCATTGAAATTTCCTTGGACGAGGAGGGCGAAGTTATTGAATTGGAGGTTTGTATCCTCTAAAAAATCGAAATGAGGTAGGCTTGACAAAATTTCAAATTATACACATTTTTACTCACCTTTGATATGTTCTGTTACTAGTGTATCTATATGATACAAAATTTCATTTGTTGCATTGTAAAGATTTTGAGATTGTACCAGCACGTTTCGGTCGACATCCATTAAAGAACTAGTTACGTTACCAATCAATGTCAGATCGTCAGTACTCTGATCATATCTTCCCATAATAGTAGAGATAATCGAGATATGTAATGCTTTCAGTTGGTTCTTGTACTGATCAATTATATCTAGAGTATGATGAAGTTTTTCACTATAAGAGTGATTGCTATCATTTATTTGAAGCAATATTTTTGTTAAATTTTTTGAAACGTCTTTTTTTATCAATGAGAAATATCCTTCGTGTGAAAATGTACAGGTTCTATAAGCACCAATGAGAAGCGTTTTCACTGGCCACCAAATTCCGTAGCTATTATCGATGTATTCCCAGTAGGCACATGAATAATCATCATAGTTATTATTGGCTTCCTTCAAACTTATCATTACTTTATTGTCCAAACTTCCATTATAATTAGGAATTTCCAAACCAAGGACAACAGAAGATATGTATTTTTGATCTTGTATGAAAAGTGTATTATCATGAAATAGAGTGAAGATGAATCTTTGGAAAATATCATCAGTCGAAGCTGAAAATATATCAGCAACTAACTCATTTCTGGGAGATAGCCGTCCAAAGTAATCCCCATCAATACTTGTAGTGCACCAACTATTCAATCCATCATCAAATACTGCCGACATGCCTGTATCAACAGAGCAGACTATCAGGGAGAACTGATTTTTCATTGTATAGGAAGTGTTCAGAGGTAAATAGTTCCCAATCGAGTTTATTATTTTCAGAACGTTGCTCAAAGCATTATGTTTAACTTGAGACTGAATCAGAATGTTTTTTGATATAGACAACATATTTTGGAGTATTTTTTCGATGAGGTTTATATTTTGATCCATAATTTTCAATAAAATCTTTGACAGTAAGGAAACATCAATAGATTTGAACATGTCATACAAATAAGAGATTCCTTTCAACTCTTGGAGCTTGTCGATGTTGAATGAACTGGATTTGAGTATGGATTCTAAGATTTTTGTGATATTGGTTGTGATTTCTTCGTTTTTATAACCCAAATAACCTTGCCGTTGAAAGCTGCATGTTGAATCAGCCATCCTTCCTTCTACTTCCCAGTTACTTCTTTTATTTTCATTTTGCACCCTAATATTCCATCGAACACAATAACCTTCATATGGATATTTCTGATACAGAATAATTTCCTCTTCATCTGCTGTGTCATATCCTACTATATTTACTCCGAATATTATACCATTATGACCAATGTTATCTTTGGAATTGAATAAAGAATCATCATTAAAAGCAATAATGACCATTTTCGGTTCCGAGGTGCTTGTATTCGTTTTCAAAAGCTTTTTGAATAGGTCCTGATTCAGCCGTACACTCGTTATGTCAAATTTGTTTGGGTTATTAGTTTCCGTACCATTTCCAAACAATTTATCAACTCTACATTCATTTTCGCAGTTACTAATTTCAACTCCTACAATTGCACTTTGTTTCACAGAGGAAATCATCAATAGCAGATTTGATTCGTAATAGTAAAATATCTGATTCAGCTTCAACATTCCTGCTAGTATTTCTAAATGATTCAAAAGCTTATCGGTTGTTTGATACTTTTCTTGAGTTTCTTCAAGGACAACTCTATCTATTTTCATAATGACACTAACGATTCTAGATATAATACTGAGAGTTTCTTCTTCAACCGTATCTACTCCATCAAATATATCCGTGATTAGTTTCAAATCATATGCTGTAAATCGATGATGGTATTTTATAACAATTTCTTCTAAATTCTTCAAAATAATCATAATATTATCAGCTTTCATTTGTTCTTCGATGAAATATGTGATATTGATGTGAAAACGTAAAGAGTAATACCTGAAAAAAATAACCTTTTAGTGCTTTTATTTCATCCTTATAATACTCATCACCTCCAAGGAATTTCACAAAAACTTACCCAGTTTTCCAGAAGTTGCATTGGGAGACATCATCATTGTTCCCTGTTATGTAACTTTCTGGGACCCAGTAAGTTTCATGCCAAAGTTCACAGCTTTGATTATAAATAGCCTTCTTAGTCTGATACTCTATTCGTATCTCGCCATTCATGGCTATGTCAAAATTTGGAAAATGTACACCAACAATTTTGGAAGTATCTTTTCTGTAAGAATCTTTGGAAACGAAAAATAAATCGTCATTGAACACAGTCAACATTAACTTGGATTCATCCAATTGTCTAAGTTGTTTTACAAGATCTATACTCAATATAACACTCATCTCAACCTCCTTAGTGGAAACTTGAGATGTATCCGTATCTAACCCAGATACTATGATAACACTACAGAATTCGCTGCAAGTGTTGATTATGAACTCCGTATCGGCAGTGTTGTTGATGAAAAAAACGAGAAGGAAAAAATTCCTTCGGGTAATCTCGATGGATGTCCCATAGCTTTTCATAATATTCTTCAAATTTGTTAACAGTAGTTCAGGGACGTTGAGAAGTGATTGAGATTGTGAGATAACAGATTGGTTCAGACTCAAAGTGCTGTCTATGATATCAGCAATCAAATTGAATTCATCTTGTTCTACTGATTGCACTTGGCTCAGTATCTCAGAAATAATATGAAGGTCTGTTGGTTGGAATAGATCACCGAATGTTGAAACCAGATCTCTTAATTCTTTCAGTTTCGTGTATTGAGAATTGTATGAAGAATTTTTAATTCTTTCTAATTCAGTAGTTATAGCAGTGTTCCCAATAAGTTGTACTGAATTCAACCTCGAATATTCTAATTCATTGAAATTACATATAATGTTATTTATGTAGCGTTCAGCTCTCCTTTGGTATTTCCAATACTCGATAGATTCATTTCCATAGTTCCAAGAAGAACAACGATGAAAAAATATTGAATTGTTATTGAATTTGTTCTGGTAAATGACAGAGAAGTCCCCTGAATCTGTATCTGAATGAGAGAACAATAAACGGTAAATAGTTCGTGTACTTTCGCTTTCATTTTCTTCTCCAAAAAATATCGGTTTATTGTAAATTAAGACTTTAAGTACATCGGAAGATGTTCTGAGCAAAGACTGATTCACAAATAAAGCCGAGTCAAAAGGACCATCCTTTTCTATTGCCTCAGGCCGCATTACTCTCGAAAATTCAATGTCAACTGAATCTATATTCCTCGTCAATATCAAGGTGTTGATACTAGAGATCTTGAAAGATGCTATGGTAAGGATTTTGCCCAGTATAGGATCGAAGTCACTAGACAATCGAATTATTTCTTCTACATTTTGTAATATTTTATCTCTACTCTGATATTTCAATTGTGACTCTTTCAAAATGTCTAAAGAAATGCTTCCCAGATTATTCACAATTTCTGCCACCAGTTCAACATTGTTGGTTGAAACACGAGCTAGTTGTCCAAGGAAGTCTGATACAAGAGCAACATCACTCGAACTGAAATCATTGTAGTTTGTAGTGAGTTCTACCATTTGCTCTAGATATCTGGTAGGGTTCTCAGAACGAACAATACTCGTCAGATTGATGGTGGTATTTGTGGAACTGACGATTGTGCACATCCCTTGAAATTCAGCCCACTGAGCTCCATCCACAAAATTTCCTGAAATTTGAAAAATTATGTGAATATGTCCAGGAGAAGAATGATCTAATGATTATCTATTCGATGAATGCATATCAATGTGTTCACAGGGCTGGAAAAACTAACTTTTATAGTTTAATCTATTTATAACTACTATATAGTTATGTAGAATCGAGGGGGTGACCACTGCTAGTGAATCTGTCCAACTGATTTCATGAAGACATGATGATTATTCAATATTTCAAGGGATTTCATGGTGATTTCATGGGATTTCATGATGATTTCATCGATTCCATGTTGATAACATGATAATTTCATGATGATTTCATGAGATATCATATGAATTCATGGTGATTACATGATGATTACATGATGAATACATATTGATCACATGAGATTTCCTATGATTTCATGGTGATTACATGAAATGGAGTATACCTGTGCATGAGTTTTACAATGCAATATTGGTTTGTTTCATGACTGCATATTAACGAAAATATCATTACAATATTAAAATCCATTATTATGAGAACTGATTATTATAACCGACTATTTCAAAATGAACTTCAAATCACTAAGAACATCTGAACCAACAACCGTGAGACAACGATAATTCTCGTCATGAAATCAGTTATGACAAATATAATGATGTCATAATATATTATTCATAAGAACCTCGCAATCCTCCATTTGAAGAAATTAAGTTGGGTCTGAACTTAATTGACTTCTTCACAGTTGAAAACATATTGGAGACTTCCGATGATATTCTGGATAATAATAACAAAGAGCTGATAAAGCCCAAAAAATTAAAAAGAAATTATCACTTGTAAATGTTTCACCCTGTATAAATATTCAATTATCATGTGAAAATACAGTGAATTGAAATCAAAAATCGAACTGTCTCGGGAATTTCTATTAGAATGGAATGTTTTATTCAGCTTAAAATTGATTTATTTGATATTTTGCGAACGAAACACCAAATTTGGCTCAAAAAGAAAACGAAAAAATTGAAAAGAATTCAATGACGTTATTACTCGTAGATGCCTGATAATTGTCTTGAGAATTTCTACTGAAATTGTTTGTGATTGTGTGCCAAAATGATTTTTGTTTTTCATTTTTTACTATCGATGTGGCAGAGTATTGGCATAAATCAACGGGGACCCGTTAATCTATGGTACTGGTTAATCATAGAAAGGTCCTATAGCGGAATATAACTCAACGTGTCGCTCTCGATCTTGTTCACACCATAGCACAGTATATTATCCTTTCACGTGAAAGGATAATATACTGTGACCATAGATATCTTATTTGCACCCTGCTGCACAAGTACTGCATCTGGATTTCAAATGGAGCGAAACCAAAATACAACGATTTCTTGAATCGAAACGAAACGAAAACATATTGATTTCATGATGATCATATGGTGATTTCATGATGATTTCATGCTGATTGATTACATACTGGATTTCATGAAGTGGTTACCCCCTAGTGTAGAATCAACGACCGTCCAGACCCAGTTGACAATCTTACTCAAACTACCAACAGGCACTTGCTTGAGGGGAGGGAAAATTAGGTAATTTTCCTTTCTCAAAACTGCTAGATATAAAATTCGATTGTTTTTTGCCCTAATGGATTGTGTGACTATGGATTGGTCCAGAACCAAATGACTATTCTTATAGGGGAACTCATCCATTTTGATAATGATGATGAAAAGTTCCAATATAAAAATCCTTCCTATACATATGAATCTGTTTGTCATTGGGATGAATGAAGAGAAGAAGATCTTCGTGGGGTTGTAGTAGAGAATAGAAGTTATTTAAGTTTTTTCCTAATTGTGTTAGTCACATAACTTCTACTTTCAATTCCCATTGAAAAACTTTTTGCCTCCTTCAAATGGATCATTGATGTCAGTAGTAAGTGAACTGTTTGACTTAAACGTCCATTGACAGATTACCTAATGAAAGAAGAAACATTTTCTATTTCTATAGGAGTTTGCTCGAAACCTGTAGTTGAAAAATATTCAACTACAATACACTTGATCAGATCTAACCTTATTTCGAATGTGCTGAATGTTACATGAACCTATCCCTAGATTATTTTATATGTTATTCAAAATTTAATATTTAATATTCCATTTTGATCCAGAACGATGAGAAAATTTCTAGTCTCATCATCAAGATTAATCATTGTATCAATGTATGAACAGAATAGAAATTATTTTGTCAGACTGCGGAAACTATATTACGAGAATTACCTTCACATCTTCTTTTGATAACATGGCCTTCACCATCTACACACCAACCTTCTAAAGGTTTTTCAGCTACCTCTCCCAAATTTGTTGCAGTCCAGGTGACTTGTTGGCCATTATGGAAAACTTGCATGCCAAGACAAAAATGAACACTCAGCAAGTGGATAAAAGTGAAATCATTGGAGGTTATTCCAAATATCTTTCTGAGTACACCTAAATTTGTTGTATCCGTTGATCTGTTGGTACTACTTATATGGAAATTAATTCTGATGATTGACAGTTCTACATCTATTTGAACAATTTTGAAAATTCTGGTGAAGAAGGTGCTTCCTGTTTGAACAAGGGTCTGGTCGAGGAGTTGTTTATAATGCCTTAGATTCGATTGACATAGAGGATCAGAACCTTTCGCAAAGATGAATTTCAGAATCACCACGTATTCCTCGTTGTTACTTCTGGAAATATTAAAAATTCAGATGGCGATAGAACAGCAATTTTAAAATTATTGCATACTCACTTCAGTTGATACTCGTTGGAAATCTTCACTTCTAGTTCTGGGTAAACGAAACCTTCACACCAGTAATTTCCAGTTTGATTATTGATCGGTTCGAACAGGATTTCACTAGATCCTTCTGAAAACTCGGTTGTCAACATCTGTAGAAGAGATTCAGCAGATGCATCAGAAAAACAAAAAATTAAAGGCACCGCACTCTCATTTCTTTGGAGCCAGTTGGAAGGATTTGTTAGTTTCAGATTGAACATTCTGCTGGTATCATTGAAATACAGAAGCATGTCGTTAGGATACGAGCTTGTTGGAATATTCTGTTGAGATAAAGTATAATTGAGTTCACTGTCTGTTTCTCTCAAGGTCCACCCATCTGAAGAAATTGCTCCAAAGGTATTGCCGTTACTGGTAGGGTCTGTATCAACTGCCCAGTATTTATAGTTCACTGGAAGATTAGATGATGTCCAAATGAAGGAGGTTCCAGTATTTTTTATTCCGATGTAACACATTTCGTCAGACATGGAGTGATATACCAAGTTTTGATATGGTTCCAAAAATTCTGCCTTTTCCAATTCAGGGACTGTTGGTAACAAGCAGAAACATTTCGATTTTGTTGAAAAATCGCTTTGTTTACACAATGTGGAGAAACTTTGAGAACAAAAACTCTTGGTTTTCTTTTGCAGATGGTCATAGGCACATACAGCGGTTGCTGTTAGATTGCAAGAGACTGCTTCCATTCTTGTACTATTGTGGTAAATTACACAATCATCATTTGATGGATTACTTTTGTTGTCAAATTCACAAGGGTTGTCCTTACAAGGGTCGAAAGGTGATTTGTACAAAGCATTTGGTTCCATCCAATGGAATAGCCCTGTATAAAAAAAATTGTTACAAAGAGTTTCCGAAAAAAATATGTACATACCTATCAGTGATAGTTCGACAATTATTTCTGAATTGATCTCTACTTTATTGGTAGCATCAGAGAAAATTGTCTAAAATTCGGTTAGATATTCTTATATTCTATTGATTGAAATGATTTGAATAATTCCATACTTTCTAACTAGGGCAATTAAAAGAAATGTTTAGGCGGCAAATAATAAATCCAGTATAAACACAGAATAAGTTTAATAGTTCATAATTATTATACAGGTTTGTAATTCAATTGATGGCTGAAAATCTAGAATATCGTTATGGCATCCTTAGCTCATTTTGAGAAGAAACGTTTATATAAGAATTTGCCCTGAACCACTTGACTTTTGGCATGTTGAAATAAAAAAAAATGTTTTCTCGTCATCACTTCAATACTGTTCTAGATATCTTCATTAAATTCGCCATGAATTCACTTAGCATCAATAGACATACATCGATGCAAGAGATTTTTTGATATTCCTACCAGTGGCGTCCGTATAGGATGTATATTTTAGAATTTTCTGAAAAAAAATGTTGTACTCCCTTTTTTTTTCATTAATAAAATTCTCATTCATTTTGCAACAATATGACATCCTCAATTTTTTCTGACCTACCCACTGTTTTCGCGTAAAAAAAACCATATCCATGCATTTTTGCATAGGGTAACGAAAGTATGTTGAACTAGTAGGCTAGTGCCCTATTTTGTATTTAAAATAATAAAAGTCGATCGATTAAGTTGTGAACTTATTTCAACAAGTATTCAAGAAGGTGATAGTTTTTTTTACTGATGAAGTTTCTTCAGTCAATAATGAACAGGAAATATAATTTCAACACCCTATAGCTCCAAAGTTAAGTAGTTTAGGGCATTTGTTCATATGAACTTTTTTCTCAGAATGAGATGAGGAACCATCAAGCCATCAATCAAATTACACCCTGTATATCCGAACAGGCCCCAACTGAAATCGAATGTAAAATCAGAAGAATACTGCATATGCATAGCCTCCTGGCTAAAAAACATAAACATTCTAATATTAACCACAGTCAACAAAAGTATTAACGTATATAAAACAGAAACAGCGCATATTCACTAGACCATGAATGAACAAATAAGGAGATAACAATTTAGAACATAACGTCAATAAAAACAGAGCTATCATGTTCAAACTGGTCAAAAAAAAACGTGGGCGCGATGCCAGAATTCATTTACAAATGACTTCAAAATACTGATCATCATATTGAAAAGGAATATTCTGAGATAAATTATGAGCATGAAAAGATGGATATATATACAGGGTGTTCCTTAATGACATGCTGATATTCGAGGGGGCTATTATTTGACCCAGTTCAAGAACAAAACTTCATAAAAACGTATGTCGTAAAAGTCCTAACTTATGAGATACAGGGTATCAAAGTTTTTTGTCCACCCTATATAGCTTTTTCTGATCGCAAAATTCATTCTGATATGTGACTGAAACGGTGCAAAAATTTCAAGATTTTACATACTGCGTTTATCCAGTAATGAATGTCCTGAATGAAGTACTTAGCTTAGCATTCACATCAAAATTAGAATTCTCATCTCGTTTTTCCGTTTTCTCTCGGAAACGAAGCATCCTATCGGGTATCAACAAGAGGATCTCTTTTGTATCAAATTGAATGACTTTTCATAGCATTGTATGAAATTTGGAAATATTTTTCCGTTGCTCACTTTCAAGTAGAATATAAACAATCATAACCCCCTAACGGCGCCACTGGTAGAGAAAATGCAAATTTGTATTTAAAAAAAAATGCACCTTGATGCATAGCAGATATGTACCAAATTTCATAAAGACGTCTACAATATTATTAAAAAACTGATTTTTGTTCAAAACTTCATCACCCTGTATCTCAAACGTTAAGACTTTCAGGACATACGTTAGTGGGAAGTTTTTTCATCAAAATTAGTCATAGATATTATCATGTCTTCAAGGAACACCCTGTATATAAAGAAGTACATTGAGCATTCGCATTCTCTATGATGTGATGAAAATATCAATTCTTTCTCGGTTTATTCAACAGAAAACAACTACTATATCCTGGCTATATGCCACGACGAACATTGAATTATATCTGTTGAACATCCAAGAGGAGAGCATGAAGAATAAAAATCCTCTGAAATTGAGAATTGACATTTCCTCAAATTGGATAACTAATATGATTTATTATGATGTGAAAAATTAGCTTACCAATATATGTTCGGTGTTGAAATGAAAATTGAAATAAATAGAAGTATGATTGTATAAACTCTGATCTTGATAAGCTTATTGAAACTTCAAAAAAAAAACATTCGTATCATTGATATGGGAATTATATCTCTCACAAACAGGTCATATGACTTCATTCGAATAAACTCATATCGGATATCAAACCATTCTCAGTAACCTGAAGTCCAGTTATTCTTTCAGTCATTCTGCATGATATACACAATTTTCATCTCTCTGTAATATAACTAAAACTATTACGAACTGACATCTGAGAATTATTTGTTGACATTCAATCCCTGTCATCTGGCTGTTTTGGTTTTTGAATGTATGACGAATTGATATTCATCATACAGGACGTGGAAAGAAATTCTGAATTGAGAAAACCTAACCTCTTCGATAACTTCGACATTTTTGAATATACCTATCGGAATCATTTTTGAGCGCCAGTAAGATGAGGAGTTGATCCGTTCAACATTTTGTTACAATACAACATGAATTGATCAAGTTTTGATTTGAACAACTTTCATTCTCCATATTTTGTAATAATAAATTGTATAATAACCTGACAAGAAGACGTTTATTGAACTAAATCATGACATTTCTCATTGCCATGGCAAACTATGCAGAGACAGTACTTGCTTCTTTGAGGAGTGATGAATGTCCCTCAATATCGAGAAGATTTCATCATTACTTGAGAACTATCTGACATAGGTTGAAGAAACATCGCGATACAGATTGTCTCTGATGTATAACAATGAATTCCGTTATCTCTACTCTCAAACTCAAATAAACCTAAAAACGGAGAAGGAAAGAGGTCCATAAATAAAACTCTTCGGTTTCCTAACTGAATGAATTATGTTTATTATCAGATGGATAATAAATGAATGAAAGTGACTGGAAATAGGATCTGTCCTAACTAAATGACATAAAACTGACTTGATATTGACTGAATCTAACGACTAGTTGAGAAATAGTTATAATTGAATATTAACTCAAGTAGTTGATAAGTCTTCAACTCATAGTGAAAGCGTTTAGTCACGTGACACAACCGAACAGAACAAAATTAAAGAACGAACCTCCCCAAAATTGTGACACACGTATTACTTTCGTAAGCTCAATCTATCACGTGCCATGGAAGAAGAAAAATTTAGCTCCAAATTGTATCTGACCAATCATGTGATGTTATTTCATCGTTAGAGTGGTATTCATAGAAATCTCTCAACTAGCCTGATTCCATTCAAAGACAACCATAAATAACATTCAACATATATCAATTTATTATTATTCCAAGAAATTATACGAAAGAACCGGAATATGAAAACTCAACTAGCAATTTTAGTTGGAAATGACCACCGGACCTGGGAGGACAAATGACCTGATATAAGGTTTGCTATGAATACAAATGTATGTGTGAGCAGTGGATATACCTCCGCCTATCTTACCTTTGGGCGCGAATTAAGAACACCTGATGATGTCCGAAGAGATATGCGAGCTATAATTGAAGGAGGAAACTTTGTACCTCAAATTACTCCATATTTAGTTCAATTAGCTGATACTCTACAAAAAGCCAGAGATTCTCATGAAATAATTCAAGATCGTGCTTATGCAGATCAAAGGAGAAGAGAACATCAAACGTCCAAACCAGGGGACCAGGTCTTACTCGACACCCATTTCCTCAGTGAAGCAAAGACTCTTACTCCGCTAAATTGGCACCACGAAGAGATGGCCCATATCAAATTGCTAGTTATTGCCCCTACAACTTATGACATCGTTTCGATGGAACAACCTGATCAGGTACTATTCACAGTTCAGCGTTAGCATCCTATAGACCCCACGACGAAGAAGAAGCCGTACCATTGAGGCCATAACGAACACGAGGTCGACTACCTGCAACTCGATCCATAAAGCCTGTAGTATCGGAAACTCCTCCAGAGGAGGAAACAGACGTTAGAACTGACGTATCAGTGTCCGATGAAGAAACCTCCGCAGAAGAGAATATGCATCTTCCCGAACGAAGAGACGGCCGACTCCGACGTGAAAAATCCAAGCGAAGATGTCTCTGTTGTCCAGTTACACACCAACCATTTGAGCACACGCGAGGACGCCACTGTATTCCAAAGGGGGAGATTGGAACGTCATTAAATACTCCTACCACTGAGTCAACCGACCCAGGTAACCCAGACCTGCTGAAATCCTAAATAACAGAGGAAGACATCACCCATTCACTGTTCTATTTGACCTTCTTAAAGGAGTGGTTTCTAAATGTGATTCTTCTGGTCTTGTGCTTATGGAGTCATCTTGATTTTGTGAAATCTCTTCATTGGCTGGTCTCAGGAATCTCGGGCAATTCAAATCGCACTTGTTTTTGGGGAGTATTCCCCATATCCCGGAGATGTACTTTGTTTCTCCTCAGGATTGATTCATTTGGTGTTTGAATCAGAAAAGAACGAGGTTCTTCTCCTTGTCCGATAACTGTAGCCGGTAACCACTGTTCTGAATTTTGGTCCTGGTGTTGAACTTTTTGACCTTCTTGCAAAGGAGGTGAGTCAGATGCATGGAAATCATAATGTTGTTTCATTTGGTTTTGTTGATCCTGCATTTTTTCCATAATTGCATCTCTATTCCGTGTTTGGTTGGAGATGTGATTTGGAAGATTTGCTCGTATTCTTCTGTTATACAGCATTCGTGCAGAAAGCTTGAACTCATTTCAGACCCATTACGATATAAAAAAAAAACTTATGTGGACCCCAATTATATGAGTCGAGCTAGTCTTGTACAATTCAAAAATGATATCGAGCTATTGCAAAAAAAAAAATAGAATAAAACCAACAACTATCTCTCCGATACCATGTCATTATCTATCTCAAACTAATATGACAATAGTTTATTAAATCTACCGCAAGTAGATATCAAAACTAAATCTATCCAAATTCATTTGCGGTTAATAGCCAATTGAGAGCTATTGGAGACCCGTACTTTTATTACCTACTATTCATACTTAGGGTTGTAAACTATGATTTTCGGTTTTACTACGACTTCGGTGAAATGTGAAAAATACTGGACACCACAAAATTTCAACTGTCAAATGTCAAGTCACCCAGATCATGGACACAAAAATAAATACATGGAAATAATAGATATTGATGGAAGATACAACAAAAGAGAACAACACTACGTCAGATTGGCAACAAAAATAAAAATCAAGATTGGTTCATATTAGAAGGCTTGAATCCGCCGACCTACCGTACAACAAAGAGCAAGGTAAGAGGGAAACATAATATTACAACTATTTAGCAAAATTCAGTGAATTGAAAAATTGTAGGCAATCAAAGTGAGTTTGTTCATTCAGAGAAGTTACATGGTTATTCATTAAAGACAAATTTATTTCATAAATTTCTAAAAGATTTAATAAACGGCCTTTTGGGCGAACATGTAGGATTTCTAAGCTATTGGCAATGTTAAAACTGTGTTGGGAGTTGAGAACATGGTCAGCAAAGGAACTACCAGTGTTATATTCATCCAAAGGAGGTGGGAAAGTGGCTTTTTCTATAAATTTAATATGTTCATTAACTCTGGTTTGTATCCGTCTACCACTCTGGCCAATGTACTGGGAATTGCAATTGGGATGTGAACAAGATAATTTATATACACCTGGTTTATGGAGAGGGGGAATTTTATCCTTATTATTGACGAACACACGTGATAATGAGTTTGTAGTGTATAGAAAGACATATTGAGATCATCGCAAAATCTGAGAAAAATATTGCTGATATCTTGAGAAACTTTACCTAAATAAGGAATTGAAGCAAACCGTGTCCTTTGATTATTGATTGGGAGTAAACTTCGATTAGCAATAAACTTGTTTAAATGACGATTGAAGATTTTATCAATTAGGTGGAAGGGAAATCCATTGTTATGTGCTATTTGTTTGATAATGTTCAATTCAGTGTTGAAACTTTCAGGAGAAAGTGCGTTGACGAAATACGATTTCGGGCATTCGATTAAATGAACGTTGAATAAAATTCATGTGTGTTTTTGGAAGCAGGAATACTAAAATCATTCAATTCGAATTTTTTCTTATTTTCAGATATGAATGGAATCTATCATTCCAGTTGAAAGAAAAACAATAATCTAGATCTATGGATCATTTTGTGAAAAGAATATACAAATCTGATGAAAAAGTAAACTCTCAAATGAGAAAATTAATCATAGAAAGTATATACAGTGTCTTACTTCTGATGATAGCACCCCTGTATTTTACGTCTCACTTCTCATGGAAGCATGTATGTATCTTACATGTAATTATTGAGGTATAGATTTGATATCAGTGATGCTAATTCCAGTTGGTCGTTGACTTCACCTTTGGACTCAATTTTTCTCCTGCGAATATCAGAATCCTAGCTTAATAATTACGTAAGATATACGGTATGCTTCCATGAAAAGTGGGACAGAATTTGAATCCTCAAATTCAAGAATTCAAGAATTTTTCAAGAAAAAAAAGTTTGTTAATCCGAATCCGAAGTGATTTCGACCCATCTTGCCTTCTAATATCAATTTCAGGTAATATGGGTGGTTCCATGGCTCCTGGCGAGCAGTGTATATCACTGAAGATGACACCTCTTGGTCATAGAGTGTATTTTTGGGATATTTGTCATGTTAATAACTCAACAATAACATGAGATACAGGGGTGCTTCTATTAGAAGTAAGACACACTGTATAACAAATAATAATATCGTGAATTAGAGCTTACCGATACCATTCATTCTTCTGTTTCGTCTCACAGGCATCCATATTGGAGATTTATGATCAATTTGATCAATAAAGGTATTGAAGGGGACTGTTTCTTCATATGGACACTCAGGAGGATAGGTGGTATTATAAATGAACTTGATGCATAGGTCACCAATATTTTCAAAATTTTTTGGACAAGGATATAAAATTATCTTCTGTTGGAGAAGTGAATCATCAGATAAAGCTCTTCTGCTCAATTCTTGCATTGCACTCGCATCTTCAATGAATTCCTTAAAATATCAATATTTCATCGATTGCATTTGTTATTCACTGATGAACTAACCGTGTCAGAAACATCTTCATATGTTGTTATTGAAACAAAATATAGCACAAACAGAAGTTTAATGCAGAAACAGTGCGTCACTACCTGTAGCATGTACATTTTCTCATTGCCCTACGAAAATTTGAAGCTCTGCTTTGGACGCTATACTGACAACTGGAAAATTAATTAACCATCTTACTGGATGATTATCCATGTTCCATATGTTAATCTAATCAGTCGATCAGGTAAATATCGTATGTGAACAAAGAGGAAAATATTATCAGCACTAATAATTATACTGAACAAGGTAATTGATAATTTCATCCAACGGGATTATAAATAATTAATGATATTATTCAAGTAATGTTTTTTCAAACTAGGTATAAGTATAATATCTATGAAGACTAGGTTGATAATTATCCCAATAGAATATGAATATATGAGCTATACAAGGTGAGAAAAAAAGTACATTTCATAGTGTCACACAATAGAGAACACCAAAATAAGAAAAAAAGTCTTCATGAACACGGGTCCGCAAGGCCTTCGGTTAAAAGATATGGGGTGTTGAATTCCAATTATTTTTTTTGTTTTTTTGAATGGCAAAAAATGAATATAATGTGGTATACAGGGGTTTCTTATCATGCTGAATACAAATATGATCTCATATAGTTTTGTGATTACTGATAGAGGGCGCTACATACATACACCCCGTATCTTTTAACCGAAGGCCTTGCGGACCCGTGTTCATGGGAACTTTTTTCTTATATTAGTGTCCTCTATTGTGTGGTACTATGCAATGTACTTTTTTCTATGTCACCCTGTATATCTCATACACCTAACTTGAAATGATCCGGATGAAAACATTGTAATTATTCAGTTTTTTGCCTTCTTGATCGTACGAAACGGAATCGCTATTGATCGAACATTGTTCGTATCAGGAAAATTCTCAACATAATAATTATGTTGATTTACTGATCAACAAATACAAATTTATTTTTATTCACGAATACTGCTAATAATGCCGTGGATGAAAATATGCAATTAGATACCATATTCACAGACTTTAGTGAAGCATTTGATAAAGTAAATCATTATATTTTGTTTGTTTGAAACATTATTTAGAAAACAGATAGTTTATGGCAGATATAAAGGTAAATACTTCCGGAAAATTCCATGCTAACTCAGGAGTGCCTCAAGGATCAAACCTAGGGCCTATACGTTTCATTCTTTTCATTAATGATGCACCCTTGGTGATCAAATATTCGAAATGTTTGTTATTCGCAGATGATTTGAAGATATTTAAGGAAATCCAAACAGTCAGAGATTGTGTCTTACTTCAAAAAGATATAAATTCTTTATACAAATGGAGCGATGAATTCAGATTACCATTTAACGTTGGAAAATGCTCAGTAATGACAATATCTCGTGATGAAGAGCAAACAATTTTTGATTACAAAATAGCTCATGATTATCTCAGGAGATGCACTGGAATCAATGATCTTGGTATAACGTCCAACAATAAATTGACATTCAAAAAACATATTGAAAATACTACAAAGTCTGCAACACGAACACTTGGTTTTTTCATTAGACAATGTTCTAACTTTAGACATGTAAAAACATTAATCGCGTTATACTACACTCTTGTGAGGTCTAAACTTGAATTTGGTTCAGTAATCTGGAATGGAGAATCGCAAACTACTCTGAAATCCTTAGAAAAAGTTCAAAATAGTTTTCTAAGACATCTTTATTTTAAAAAGTATAGAAGATGGCCAGACTTTATGACTATTCGATCATCTCAGCTCAGGTCAGAATTTGATGTTATATCCATAGATAACAGGATTAAATTGAGTATGATGACTTTCTTGTATAAAATTGTAAATTATCAGATCAATTCTTCGGATCTCTTAGCTCTAATTCCTTTTCACGCGTCGGCTCGCAGAACCAGATTTCCTTTGATGTTCAATACCTCATTAATATCCACAATATCCCACTCCCCTCTTGTAAACATGCTCAAATTAGCTAATTATACAAATTCATTAACTGATCTAGACTGGTCTATGACATTCAATAGATTAGGAAAAGTAATTATTCAACAAATGTCATCATACTGATCAATGTAAGTAACACTTCGTACTCCGTATTGCTGTCCTCTACAACTCTACTGAATTTTTTTCTCTTCTTATCTACCGAATCTTTCTTCAATATTAACTGTATTCGTGTTATATCTACTTATAAATTCATGTAATTAGGCTAATCGGCCCGTGTGGAGATAAATGAATTAATAAATAAATAAGGAACATAATTATTGAGTTGACGTGAATCAATTGAAAGATTTAGTCAATAATCTGTAATTTCAAATATCATTAATATCTATAGTGAAATTTCATTCCTCTAGATCTTTTTTTCTCAACTCGTCCATATGAATAAACATTCTATAGTTTTATTTCAATATACCTGTAGTATAATCAGATGATTTGCCTAAAAGATCACTCATTCCACAATTATGCCAAGAATTCACGTAGGTAGGTGAATATGTAAAATTCAAACAGTCCTGGCCGAACAAGGAATAGTATATCAATTGTTTAACAAGCATGGAATGATAGCAATTTATCACGAGTTGTTCACTATCCTTTTATACTTATAATAGGAAAATGATATGGAATTCAAATTCAATGTCATTCAAAAACTCCATTAACAGTCGATTGATTTTTGAGGTAAGGAAATGTATCGTTTTTCAACAACAGAAAACAAAAAAAACATTCATTCATTGTGCCCAAAGAACTGGTCAACTATATCATGTTCACAAAATCTAATATTCTTTGAATTGACTCGGCTGTTACTTGATGGCAAACCATAGTAAATGTAAAAACTATATAAAGGATAAAATTTCCACAAAAAACACACGACACAGTTGCTTCTTCAGGTGGAATAATATTCAATAGATTTTGTGAACATCTTATACTTTGTGAAGTTTTTTCAAAATCTAATATATTGGAAAAGTAAAAGTAAAATTACTATTTATATCCTATTCTTCACTTTGCCGATAATTGGTACTATTGATTAGAAAAAACGATATTGTTTAAGGGTGATTCAAATTTAATGACTGCCAATTTTACACCACATATAACAAACGAAACTACTTCTCATATTTTATAATATTTAATTAGTTTCATTATTTTATATAATGCTTCACACTTTCTGCCTTCGAATAACAGGAATCTTCGTGCTATAAGTTGATGAGATAAATTATTCTTCAAGGTAAGAATTTCTCTATCAGCAAAAGAGGAAAAATATACGTTCCGAGTATACGTTTCAGTTCATCAAAATGAGAAAATCAATGGTACAGAGATGACTAGGGCATTCTTCTTCAGTCACTTTCCGAGTCTCTGCTCTGCATACAGGGTGAGTCATCAGGAACCGGAACTGTACATACCCTACCACGAATAGAGGGCTCTGAGGGGGATACCTAATGACCATAAGAAAGTGTCTTCATCTCTTCTTAACGAATATACAGTGTGTCCATTTAGTGCGTAATTCTTCGATATTTCATGGACTATTGAATTCAGAGAAAATTCGGAATGACTGGTTATTTAGTTCAATGGGCCACATATTTTAAAAATATTTCCAGTTGTACAGGGTGATACACAAAGGCAGGGAAGCTGAGAATATAAATTATTTCAATGGAATACCCTGTATATTTCGTTCGTTATCGATTCATCTCTCCATTGGCTTTCCAATCGTGCCAAGAAATTGAAAATCTGTTGCGGCGTTGTCAAATTATGAATTATTCATTGATTTTTACTGCTACTGCAAAGTATTGACAAAATCAGTTATGGCTCATGCATCTATGACATTCAGTTGAATATTTCTTGTAGGTAGTAGTAGCATGGTCCCATGAATATATTTCAATAATTTTTTCAATACCTTCATACACAGGGCCAATACTGTCTTCATCCATATAATATTTTTCTCATCGTTAGCGGCGTTGTCAAATTCATAATTTTTTTTACACAACGCATTTATTGATGTACTTATCGTCACAATAATATTAGTTGAATATTCAATATCCAGTCAAACATATTGCTGCTGAACTACGTATTTGGGATTCTACGAATACTCGTGTGTTTTTTGGGTGTATCTTTTTTGTGTATATCGTTGGTGTCGTTGATTTTCTTTAAAATGGATTATTCCCAAGAAGAATTGGTGAGCATGGTGTATACTTTGGGAGAAAGTCTCGGAAATACTCTCCTTGCCACTAGAATTTATGCCCAGAAGTTTCCGCAAAGAAGACATCCTCAAGAGAAATGTTTTGAAAGATTGAAAGAGAGATTTGAGCGTAGGGGTAGTGTGAAGTATGAAAAAACAACCCGAGTGAAAACTGTTTGAGCGTGAGAGAAATCAGCCTTAATATTAGTAAATCCTCGATATCAAATCGCTGAAGAATCACAAGTTCCATCCATATCGCGCCCAACTCCATCAAGAACTCACCGAGAACGATTTTCAAAGACGAGTTGCTTTCTGTGCATGGGCGAGAAATAAAATAGAAGAGAACCGGTTATTTTTCAAGAAAGTTTTATTTACTGATGAATCAACGTTCCATAGAAATGATTTCGTAAACCGTCAAAATTTCCACTTTTATGATACCGAGAACCCCCGTGCCATTTCAATTTCTAATTTTCAACATAAGTGGTCTCCTAATGTTTGGGGTGGTATACACCATGATTATGTCATTGGGCCATTTTTTTTGAGAATCATCTGACGGGAGAGAGATTTTAACAATTTTTACAAGAAAATTTACCAAATCTGCTCCAGCATATTCCACAGGAAATTAAACAAGATATGTGGTTCCAGATTGATGGAGCCCCTGCACATTATATCATCGAGAAGTACGGGCCAATCTTGAATTCAATTTTCCACAGAAATTGATAGGGCGAGGGGGTCCAATTCAGTGGCCTGCTAGATCTCCCGATTTGACTAGTATGTATCACTTTTTATGGGGTTATGTCAAATCGAGAGTTTATCGCACAGCTGCCACCAACATAGAAGATAGGAAAGAACGGATACGAGAAGCTTTTCTTATAGTATCACCCCACAGATCCTAGCAAGAGTTCACCACT